GCCTGCTTTAGTATGTCCTCTTTTAGTGTATAGTAGTGGATTCTACATATTATGTCCCTGGGAGTCTCTTGTGGTAGCCCCCTGGGTCTTGCCGCCCTATGCGCCCTGTCCATTAATATCGGGGTGTCCGGGGCACGCTTCAGTATGTTATTGAAGAGGGCCTGGAGAACGTCCTTTGTATTTTCCAGTTCCCCTTGTGCCTCTGGTACCCCTCTGACCCGGAGGTTATTCCTCCTGCCTCGGTTGTCGAGGTCCTCTGTGTGGCGTAAAATCTGTACTAGTTTGGAATCATGGGCATCCTGCCTCTGTTCCATATTGTGCAGCCTGAGTTGCGTGTTGTCTCTGTCCCCCTCTAGGCCTCCCACCCGGAGCCCTATCTGGCGTACCTCTGTTGTGATGGAGGACAATCGTTCCTGCATGGATGCCTCAAGCTTTGCCAGCATGGAGGCCATGTCCTGTTTTGAGGGTAGGTTTTGCAGCATCTCCTGCAGTGTCGCATTCCCAGGTGGGTAGAGAGAGTCGGAGCTTGCTGGGCTCTCCGGCGGGGAGACACGTGGCGAAGATGGCGGATCCTCTGTGTCAGCCTCTGTCAGCGCTCTCACTTTGTCTCGGAAAAATCTGTCGAGATCCCCGCTTTTCTTGCCGGTACCGGGACCCGGGGTCTCTTGGGAGGTCAGTTGTTTCTTCTTGTTGCCCATCTTGCTTTATTCTGTCGCTTGGCGGCTAAAATAGACCGGAGGAACGGGAGCTTCGCAGAGATGCGACCGTTCACATGTAGAGTCAGGCCACGCCCCCTAATTATTGAAATCTGACCTAGATTTATCCAGGCATATATCCTGCTATGAGTAAAATCGTAATTAATTTAAATTAATTAAATAAAACCAGCATAATTACCAGTTATATTGTAGATGTTCTCATCAGATGATCTTATCCGATGATTAGATAGTCCCAGGAATTTGAATGCAAGTATGATTGATGATCGTATGGAGGTGTGCATGTAATAGAGAAAGTAGTGTTGGTTAGAAAGTAATAGTAAAATTCTAAGTGTCCAGGAGAGTCCAAGAGAGTTTGAGAGTTAAGTGTTAGTCCCAGTGTGTCCTGAATCTCTCTGAATGTCTCTGAATGTCTCCCTCTGACCCCCTGTTCTTACTTTTTAAAGGGCCAGACTTTCTGTACGTCATTAGTTGATTGGACCTATAGGGAGTTGTAGGTGTGTCTAACCCACAGACCACCATCACCAAAATTTCTTGTCCCGGAAAGAGTTAACTAATTTTAATGACGATTCTGACGTAATTTGTCTTATATATAATGACTGCTATCAATAGCCAGACGTGTCAGTACAAAGCATTTTCTTTGTTTTTTTCCGTCTTCGTGGTGGCGATTTCGATCGTAATTTCTAAAATTGACACCTCCTAACCTTAATTTCACCCTATTTCTTACAATGGGACCTTGTAAGATTTAGAAAGTAAAATTAATTACTACGTGTTATCTATCACTAGTGTCTGGCTTTCTTGTGTCTGGTCCTTTTGTGAAGCTGTGTGTGTAGGATTATTTTTCTATTCCACTAACATTTATTAAATAATATGATATTTCGTCATGCATTTTTATCCATGAATGGTCTATATTATTAACATAATATTGATTATATGTAATTACTATAATAGTAAAAGTGTATAGTGTATAGATGTATATATGTATAATGTATATACTTGTCTCTAGGTTGTATTCCATCCCCCTGCTTGCTGTGAGACTTCATTCCTTATCACTTGCCTTGTTTACATAACGCATTCTTTAGCTCATGACTTAAAGGTTACAGAAAGGAAAGAAATGTTGTGTCTGTCTGAAATCCAAAATGGAGTCCGTTTGATTTTAAGTGACTGGCAGTAGACACTTTTAATTTCTATCTTAGCACAAAATGCCTGCCGATATAAATATTCTTACAGTCTGTGTGTATCTGTCTGTATGTCTGTCAATGTGTGTGTATTTGTATGTCTGTCAATGTGTGTGTATCTGTATATCTGTTAGTGTGTGTGTCTGTATGTCTATCAGTATGTCTGTGTATCTGCATGTCTGTCAGTGTGTGTGTGTATCTGTATTTTTGTACCTTTATACCTTTACTTGGAAAGTGAGGTGCAAAAACCTATCTGCCACCAGAAGAAGTTTAGCCAATTTAATTTTGGCCCCTACCTACTGCCAAGTTGTGCAGGTCTGGGGTAGCATCTTGCCACTAGATGCGGCTTAAAAGCTTGATAATCTGAAAGAATGATGTTCAATGATTTTGTAGCTGTACTTGGATACTTGGAAAACAATGTGTTGTCGAACCTGTGCTTTTCCTCCCAACATCACTGGTTTCTATTTACCCTGAACTTGGATTGGATTTTGGACTTTGCTTAAGTGTTGTGATTTTGTTTTTAGATGACTTTTGGATTTTCTCTCACCTCTACCTAGGATCCTTGTAGTGCTGTACTCACTAAACTGACAGTAACAGGTGAAGAAATCTTTCCATATCTGGTCTTTCTGTTAACCTTTTGTATTTTTGATCGTTATATATATATATATATACAGTCTCCAAAAAGAAAGCCAGCACTCAAGGACTTCAACATGAAAAAATAGGCATTTAGTCCAAGTGGTCAACGTTTCAGTTCACAACTGTGAATACAAAAAGATGATTCTTGGCACTCACTCTTTCATACAAATCATCCAATTTTTTGCCAGGTGCAATCCCACATTGAAGATATATAAACAAAAATAAAGAGATGCACTCTGAGGACTTAACAAGTGAAAAAAAGAGGATTTATTCCAGGAGGTATAACATCAAAAATTAACCGACATTTCGACCCATTCTGGTCTTTCTCAAGGTCAATGTACCTAAGTATAAAAGTTATATATAAAGGAAATAAAATAATGTACTCACCAATCGTGAAGAAACCCCTGAATCCCTTTGTGTGAACCCGGAAGTGAAACCGGAAGTGAGAACCCACGGTCATGTGATACACCGTGGTATGCGTGATAACGTTGCTAAGATACCGATAAACAAGCACAATTATAAGATCGGTATAATGGTATCAAAAGTGTATGCCGGGTGTGCAAATTAAATGCAAGATAACTACTTCTAAGGAAGAATGTATATGCTATCACAATAAATG